CAATTCAGAGCTTTGGAAATTGTTTGGTTATAGTTGTAGTTTAGATGTAAGTTCAGGGATAGTTTGGACATTTGAAATTGAGTAGGACATGGTAGTTAATATTAGAGTCTTCTAGGACCTTCTAGACTAGGGCTTTAGTTGCAATTGCAAGAAACATAGTGCACTAACTTGAGTAACAAGTTAAGAAGTGAGGGATTAATATGTAAAACTAAAATAATCTGAAATTGCATCTCATGTTGCCTATAAAAGGCAGCCCCAATGCCTTCATTGACAAGTTTTTGAGTCTCCAAAAAACTCCCCTCTAAAGAATTCTCTCTCTATAATCTCCAGATCTGAAATCAGATATAAAAATTTCAAAAAAAAAAAAACAAAAAAATAATAGAAATTACAAAAAAAAATACAGAAACAAAAGCCATTGAGTTCAAGCTTATTAGTTTAAATTCAAGCTGTGGACGTTAATTTGCAGTCCTATTTTCAGTTTTGGTAATTGGAAGGTGCTGAGTTCGATTGTTTTGGTTTCGAGTAGCTTTGGGTTCAATTCAACTGGTTTTGATTGAGTTTTGGGTTTGCTGTGGTGTTCTAGAGCATTTTGAGTCTATTTACGTGTGTTTCAAGTGACCTCTGTCCACTGCTGTTGTGACCTCTGTCCATTGCTGCTGACCTTCCTTTCTTCTACTTCTATTTCCAGCTCCAGGTACACATCGCGCAATCTCCAAGTCGTGGACATGAATTGAATTGCAGCATAGCTTTAATTTCTGTTAACTTTCATATTAGATTTCCTGTAATTTCATGAAGCTCAATAGACCTACCTATAACTGAGACTGGACTGTTTTGGACTGTTGATTTGTATTGGACTGTTGATATTCGTTAGCCTAGTGTAATTGTTTGGTGATTAGTTTAATAACAGCACAAATGTGGAGATTGATTCTAGGTCCTCATGTGTAGTTAATATTTGAACACTCAAATAGGTGTGAATAGTTAACAAATGCAGGCAGTAATATAGATTGATTTACATTTATCAATTGGTTAAAAATCGAATTTGACTTTGATTGCATGTTCTTAAGTTTAAAATCAGATTATTAATGGTTTTTACATGTTTCAGCGAGTCTTACTCCATTTAATTGCTGCATGTATTGAATTGGCAAATTAATCTGTTTCAGTTCTAAAAATAATCACCTATGACTGTAATATAGAAGTCAGGAAAAGAAATTAAAAGTTCAAGTATTAAGCTGTGTGTCCAACTGGAATCGAATCTGAAATTTACAATGCCTAGTGAATTGAATTTGCTTGCTGGGATAATTTGAACCATGGGATTTGAAAAAGTCATAACTGGACTCTGCTCTCTTGGTCACGCTGGGCTCAAACGTAAAGCCCAGATAATTGCAGTCCGCTTCTTGGCTGAATACGGACTCCTCGAGTCCAGTTCAGTTTCAATCGGGCCCCTGAACAGGCCCACGATCTGATGGATCCTCATCCAGATTCTGTTAAAATTCATTATTTTGGAATTGGTTTAAGAGCTTAATTCATAGCTTGACATAAAATCTAATTTGGGCTTCAAGTTCAAGTCCTTCTCCCGGGTTAACAGAATTCCTTACCCAGATTTCTGGTTCGCGACTGTTAAACAGAGTCAAACCCTTTCCTCGATTCGGGATTCAAACCGGTGACTTGGGACACCATAAATCTCCCAAGTGGCGACTATGAATCTTAAATAAAACGAATCCCGTTTCGATTGTCCTTTAATTGGAAAAACTCCTTTTATTATACCCTTCACGGGGTGTAGTAAGTGAAAAAAGGAGGTGTGACAGGATGTTACTTTTGAGCTGGCATCGAAGTAGTATCCCGTCGTAGTTCGAGCGAGGTCGAATTCGCTTCTTTATCGATGGCCTTAGCCATTGGGATATTACTTTCGAGATGGCATCGAAGTAGTATCCCGTCGTAGTTCGAGCGAGGTCGAACTCGTTTCTTTGTCGGTGGCCTTAGCCATTAGGATGTTACTTTCGAGCTGGCGTCGAAGTAGTATCCCGTGGCGCTCTATTCTGTCTATTGGAGTATAGTGGATGCTAGTTTCATTCATACATTGGAGATTTGATTATATTCTCGTAGAAAATACGTGCTGATTTCGTGCATATAATGGAGATCTGATTATATTCTTGTAGGAAATACGTGTTGACTTTGTACATACAATGGAGATTTGGCTATCTATACCCAGTCCCTTCATTACTCGGCCTGGAGATCATATCGACGGGCAGGGAGATGAATAATACTTTGGACCTCGAGACGTCTCCCTTGCCTCCTCATCAAAAATCTCAACGAGAAAACCCGATTGGGACAAAACCCGGGTGAGGGAGAAAGAGTACGACTTAGGAGGCGCCTCTTTTCAGAGGTGGAAGTATTTGAGACGGGCGACATTTTCCGAAAAACTCAGTTGTTTTCTTTCCAACGAACTGAGGGTCGTTATCGCAGCTGATTTCTTTGGGAATGCCAAAGCGACGTATTATATTTTTCCATACGAACGCTATAACTTCTTGCTCACGTATTTGAGTGTATGCACCTGCTTCCACCTATTTAGAAAAATTGTCAGTTAAAACCAAAAGGAAGTGTACCTTGCCTCGTCCTGCTGGGAGGGGTCCAACAATATCCATCCCCCACTTTACGAATGGCCATGGCGAAGTGAAGGAGTGCAGCAGCTCTCCTGCTCGGAGTATCATAGGGGCGTATTTTTGACACTGCTCATATTTCCTGACGTAATTTGCGGCTTCTTTTTCATGGTAGGCCAGTAGTATCCTGCACGGACGAGGCATCTGATGAGAGAACGGTTTCCCGTATGGGCACCGCAGTGTCTCTCGTCTTCTTCTTCTCGGCCTGGTCCGTCGAGGAACGGAGGAGGGTGACCATGTTTTCCTTGTTGATATTTCTGGTGGCTGCCGCTAGCTTGGCGAGATCATCTGCTTTGATATTCTGCGCCCTGGGTATCTGATCGAGGCGGCTTTCGTCGAATTCTGGTAGCGGTTCGTGAATTTCTGACTGGTACTTCTGTAGTATGTCCTTTGATTTGGACAGTCCCAGTGACTTGATTCGTCACGAGTTGACAGTCGGAATGGAGGACGAATCGTCGAGTGCCATGTTTAAGGGCTAATTTCAACTATGCAACCGCGGATTCATACTTGGCCTTGTTGTTAGTCATCTCGGGGCACCGTGTGGATTGGCGAAGCACTTCGCTCGCAGGGACTTCGAGGACGAGTCCCAATCAGTTTAATTTTGCTGGCGTCGGGGAGCGTGATATCGGAGAACAAGAAACAGCGCTGTTAAGCTCGCCCTCATTTCATACACATTGGAGTTTTCCCGTCTAACCTTTTCGTTCTCCGGTTTTAAGATGTCAAATTGGCTGGTGGGACGATGAATTACGCTTTGACCTC